CTAGGTGGGCGTCTGGCTGCTAGCCAAGGTTAACCCCCCACCATCCCAAAGCCAAAAGATGGGGTAACAGCACTTGCTTGTAGGAGAAAGAGAGTACCAAGAAGCCCCAAGGCCTACATTATTAAGTAAGCAGAGGGACAGAGTCTTAAAGAACAACTCGGTAGCACAAGACAGCATGACAAAAAATTATGTGGGTACCTGTGGCTTGCTATTTAAGAGAATGGGTCAAAGCGGTCCTAACATTGAAGCTTAAACACAGAATAACTTATCAGAACTAGAATAAGTTGTATCCTGGCACTGTGTGATTCTAAAACAGTCTAGGAATTCAACAAATGGTTGAAGACATTATGTACCTGGCTTTAGCTTTCAACTTGTTTTCACATGCTGACAAGTAACATTTTACTCTCTGAATACAAATTCTAAGAGTAGAAGTCTCTTAATTTAGTTTACCAGCAGAGAAAAACAGATAGCTTGGGAAAAAAAACCAACAACCAAACATTAAATGAAAGTGCACTAGACTAATTATTTTAATCTTATTTTTGTCATCCCTAAGAGAATGGTTTTGCAATGAAAGCATTTAACAATAATCACCACCACCATTAGTGCTTATACTCAATTCTCACACAGATCTCTATACCTGAATATAAAAGACACCTCATTATTTTATACTGTTGGAAAAAGTTGTGGGGTTCGGGTTTGTTGTGGGGGTTTTTTTGTTTTTTTTTTTCTAAGAGCTAGCTTATACTGATTCTCTAGTACAGGTTTCAGTGCTGTATTCCAGTATTAGATTCTGTGAAGTCAGCTATGAACATTTGACTCTGAACATACCTGTTCCAGCAGGTAACTTTTTATGTTGAGACCTACAGCCTGAGAGCCCTTCAGACAATGTACTTGATTTAATAAAGCCAATATGCAAGAGAATTTTTAGTAAAAGCATTAAAAAATCTACATTTAAGCTTAGCTATAACCTATACAAAAGTATTATATATTCCACTGCTCACAGCATACAAAACCACTACGGTTAATATCAGACAGAACATCCCCAAGTACACACTGAGCCTGCAGGGTTTGGGTTTTTTTTTTCTCCCACAGAAGAAATAGGTACACTAAGTTTCCCTTGTCCAGTTAAAACCTTGATTTGAAGCTGAATGCTACAGTTGCTAGTAAACAGCCAAACTTCACCCTCAGCAAAATACACGATCACACAAATACTGCAAGCAAAACCCTGGAAAAGTAACATCAAGCCACAAACCCAGTCCAAGAACATAAGCCAGCCCCTCCTAGAAGTTCACATATCTCAAAACTGAGTTGCTTTAAATGACTACAGACAATAAAAATTTGGAGTCTTAGCCCAATTAACTATACAATTGAACTGTATTTATCAAGATCAAATTTGATTACTACAAAAAGAAATCCAGTCATCCTGTACAGTACCTAAAAACTTGGAAGCTTTAACTCTCAACTGTGAAAACAAAATAATTGATGTGGTAAAGGTTATCCAGCTGTACTTGATGTTTTTTTAACTCATCAGGCTCAACAAAAACAAACAAACACAAAAAAAAGAACCACCACACCCTCCCCTCACCACATACAAAATTAAGATGCAAGCTAAGGCACCTTTGTATGCCGTTGGCGCTAGCAACAGCCATCAGAATTACCTGCAGGCATTAAAACAGCAGTAGCTGCCCCAAACAGTGGAATTATTATTTAGACTAATTGGCTGAATTAGTTGGAACAGCTGCAAGTGATCTGAAGACCTACACATGAGCCTCTCTGAGTAGTC